TGAAAGGTCACTATCGATAACTCAGGTTACGTATGATATCCAAGTTACCTGTTAAGCCCTACCTTGCGCATTGGGATTGATTTGTATCTTTTTTAAAGGCACTTCCCTTACTGTCAATTTTCGCTAGATAGTTCGCCTAACTAGTCTCTGGCCAATAAGAGGAGTGATAATGCGAATTTGTAAAAGGTTACTATCATCTAATGAAGTTTGATGCATTCAGAAAAAGATATTATTATAGTTTGAAATATCTTAAACTCATTACTGTGGACAACGATTGCTTGATTGGATTTTAAATGATAGCTATATACACATGTATATAGCTTCTCTACAAGAAATCATGTATGGAAGCATTGTCCTGCCTCTCTCTTTGAAGAAAAAGCCCATGACGTGATTTTAATATATCCTTGATCCTCTTTTTTCCTTTATTATTATTGTCTGTTATCAAATGATAACGAATACCTGTGAAAAACAGCAAGCCATAAAGAAGATTCAACTAAGCACAGTGTGTTCACCTGGGGGAGATGCGTTTTTGTAAGCTGCATAAATAAAAATATTCCATTTTCTTCTTCCCTTTTTTAAACTCTGCTGACTTTTTTTTCTCTTTATTTATAGCAAGCTATGCTTTGTTCGAATTGCGGAAGAACGGTATATGTTGATGCAGATGGGTTAGCAACATTATGCTTTTCATGCTTCGTGCTCAGAATGAACTTTGAACAGGTAGAAAAAACAGATAACAAAGCACTAGGAACTAATAAAAAAAGATAGGACGATGGAGATATAACGGAGAATTCGGATATAGAGCAGTACAGTATAACCGACTCTTTAGAATTATATCGGGGCAGGTTAGACTATGAATCGATACCAGACGTAGATGAACTTTTACTTCAAGAACAGCTTATGGACGACACTACGTTCTATGACGACGATTATGATTCTGTGGCAGAATTGGCTGAAGAGATAAGTGAATGGGAAGCCGGCATCATCACTGGATTCCCTCTTTCGTTCTTTCTTAGACACACGTAAGTTTGTTTTTTTTAAAAATGTCATTTATCATGATGTATTTTCGATTAGGACGGCAGTGGCTACTGAAAGGTTTAATGATTTAATTATATTTTTAAATATTAATGTGAGCGTAACATAGAGTACGAAAAGGGGCATCGGAATCAGATCTTGCTGCTTTAAGAATGCGTATGCCAAATGATATAGGTGGGACATAAAGTATGACACACGTGTATGTATGAGTTCATATATTATATGTATAGAGACAACGACAGATTGTACCATCTGTACTGAACAGTTTCAACAAAAAGAAATTACTGAATTACCATGTCATCACACATACCACTCAGAATGTATCCTTCAGTGGCTTGAACTCAATGCATCCTGTCCTATTTGGTAAATAGTATAAACAAAAGGGGGACATCTTTTTAATTCTTGAATAGTCGGCGTTCTATACGTGATAGAAATAATCAACCAGATCAAAGAGAAGAAAGAAGACAACATGATCTATACCCAGATTATGAAAACCCAGGATATTTGATGGGTATAGAAGATATGTTCAATATATCCTTTGGATCATTTGGAGACTATGATAGTAACTAAAGAATAGTTGTTTGTATATATAACAAAAAAAAAACTCTGCTGATGAATATAACTAATAAAAGCCTAATGTCTCACATTGAATTTGTTTGATACAAGAGGGAAAATTTATTAATGAAGAATTCTATAAATGTGTATTAAATGCGTAACCTGACATAAAACAAAAAAAGAGAAAAGGGAATAACTGGTGGAAAAAGGATTTTAATAAGGTTTCTATCAATGACACGTTTTTTAATCCTTACAAGGAAGTGTGTCATATTTAAGCACTTCCAGTTCCGACGTAGTTGAAGTAGTTGGAGTAACCATACTGTTCAGGCAAGGAGCCAACAGGACCGATACGAACAAAGTATTGACCAGATGGGTAGTTAGGGAGAGGAAGGAACTATATTATGGGAAATGAGTAAATATATATATATATATATATATAAACAAACTTACGGTAGCCTTGGTGTAATCGCAAGGAACAGTGTGTCCATTGGCAGTGAGGTTAGCAACCAAACTATATCAAGTCATTGACAGGTTTATAAGCATGTACTATAAAAAGAAAGAAAGAAAAACTTACGTAGCATTGGTAGCTTGACCAGTCAACAAATGGATTTCACAGGTTTGACCAGCGCCGTTAGCAGCAGACCAGTGGACGAGACCAGAACCTCCAGCGTTCTAAAAAAGTATAAGTTTATATTGTTTAAGCGTAATAAAAAAAAGACTTACCCAGGTAGATTGTCCCCAAGGTTCAATAACCTATCATGTATACGATCAATTGATAATTCATTTATAAAGGGTAATGTTCTTACAGTGATGTTGGCAGCAGTAACGGATGCGATAGCAACGGCGAAGGCGGCAAGAGAAAACTTCATGATATATAAAGGAATGGTATAGTGGTTTGTAAAGAAAAAGAAGAGGAAGGAAAAAGCAGAAATTAAAAGTATTTATACTCTTTTCATGACGGGACATTGAAAGCGGGAATAAGATACCATGTTGGATGTAAATAGTGTTTGCTGACTTAATCTGGAAATGAGGTTTGAAGTCGAAGTGATATAATTCAAACTCGGCGTTTATTTTTGTATCTTACGCACAGACAGGTGCAAGAAGAGTGGATGCAAAGTGTAATTAGGATGTAACATTAATTTTGATAAAGACCTCGTGTATGCTTCATATTCATCTTTATCTTTTCAGGTTGAATAACTTAACAGTTGACATCATTTTAAAAGAAATTCTAAAGAAACGGAGCTATATCTTTTTATGATTCTGTTCGGTATAACTGTCAATTCTGCATCCTGTTATTTGAACCTCAGTAGGACTATATAATAAAAATAGGAATTTCTGTGTAACGTCTACTTTATCCCTCCCCCTGAGGAGGGTTTTCTATTTTCCATCGCTACTTATCACGTCACTGATTGTGTAGAATCTGAAGAAGAATACATTGGGCATGATACAGGTATATCCAATGGGAATGATACTCTTGGACATGTCGTTTATCTCATCATTCTATGGATCTCCTAAAAGGATATAACGCTCCCTCCATTGTGGCAGTTTTCATCCATTGTCAAGAGTAAAAGCTAAGCGAACTAATCATCCACGGCTGGAATTAGTGAAATATGCATATTTAAATACAACTTGTTGTATCAGGCACGATCGAATGAACCATTGCCAGCTGTGATTGAATACGGGTATCTTGGCAGAATGTGCTCTACACAGGTCTTAATTATTCATTTATTAAAAAGTCATACAGTTGGGCTCACTGTAATCTGTATTTCTTGGAAAAGGTAATACCATGCTTGATGGTAATAATAGCTTTTGAAGCAAGAAAATTCTTTATGTCTTCATTTTCAAAAAGTACCTTCAGTAAAGAACGACAAGAGCATCATCACACTAGCTTTTAAATAAACTCGGAAACGGAAGGGGTAAACTGTTCTGACAAACCTTTCCATGGTCATACACGTTTACCATACCAGCCTTAACCCAATGCTTTGAATCCATATCAGCACTTTTAACCCTCACCATAACAGTCAAAGGGGGGAAAATAACCGCCCTGGTTTTTTTAGCAACTGTTTAATTCAATGCGGTGTTGATTTTCTTGCCTCAGATCAGTTCTTGTATAGACATAAAAGGTGAGATTCACCAAAATTGTCATTGGAGAAGGCACGTGTGCATGAAGCTTACACAAAAAAAACACGTCCAATGACAATTGTGAAAAAGACACATGTCTATTTATATATAAAAACGCGCTCTTTCTCTATTCTCTTTCCCTTTTTTTTAAAAAAAGAGGTTTTCATGTTGAAACTGATTTTATTGTTGATTACTCTTCTTTACTGTTTTGTGGATGCAAAACAGGTCCATTACAAGACTCCTTTGGGTGTTGACTATCAAGGTTTTAAAAAATTTTTTCTTTTAAAAAAGGAGTTTGTTTATAATATATATATGCACATTAGGCCCTGTCTTGAAGGTATCCCGTAAAATTTTGAATACCAAAAAGGTCCCTTTTGTTGAACATCCCGCAGGTAAATGATATATGATAAAAAAAATACAGCGTAGAGTAATACATCAAAAAGGTAATAACTCCTGGTTGGGCATGAGCGTGGATTTCAAGTATATCAAACCCGTCTTTGAAGAGCTCAATTCGACTGCTGTTCCTTTATTGAGCAGAGGTAAGACGAGAATGACAAAGGAGGTCAATCTAATAGGCCCTTAGGTGAGTCCCATATCACTGTTGTCTCTCCTCCCGAGTTTGCTGTCCTTGCTTCGGCAGGCGTGACTATTGAACAAGTTAACGATATCGCCCGTAAGAACAAGATCCAATCTAGCAAGCTCAAGATCGTTTGCCTTGGAAAGGAAGATGTGACGATCAACAATGTCAGAAAGATCGTATACCAAATCATCGTAAAGTCAGATGACCTTGTCAAGATCCGTCGAGAGATATTCAAGCTGTATGTTCAAAAGAAAGGAAATACGGCACTCTTTGATCCAGAGGTATATGAATGTATTCTTTTTTATCCATTCTCACCCTCGTTTCCAAATAGTCATTCTGGCCCCATATTACCGTTGGATTTACTTCAAGCGACGTATTTATCGAACAAGGAGTTTATAAAGGGGCTAACGTCTGCTATCGTCCCATCCTCCTTGACTAAATATTTATAAATTTAAAAAACACGGTATCATTCCCTTTTATTTATTTTTCAACCAAAAAGAATACTCTTTACAACTTGGACTTGTTACCGGCAAGTTGTTTAAAGACGGTATCGAGCTTGGTAGCCAACATCATTTGACCCTTAATCTTGAGTTTACCAGAAGTGAAAGCCTTTTGACCGTTCAATTTACCAGAAGCCAAGTCAACAAAGTCACCATCTTTGATAGTGATGATCGCGTCAGCCTTGGTAGCACCTTGTCCTTTGACGACCGTACCATCTTTCTTGAGGTCAATTGTGAACGTTTCCTTCTTCTTGTCATTGTTTTCTATAACAAATTCAAAAATACCCTTGACTTGCTTAAGAAGTTGAGCCTTCTTGTCAGCAGGGAGAGATTCAAGGCTAGACTTGAGAGTAGCAAAGACTTCAGAGCTTTGGAAACCAGGAGTTTTGATATCAGACATTTAAGAAGTAAATAAATAAAGAAAAAGAAAAAAGACAAAAAAAAGAGATGTGTATTTATAATTCACATGCGCTGTGTTTATATATTTCGCATATGCAATTTTCATATGATGATTATGAGTGTGGGTGAAAAAAATTATTTTGCGGGGTAATGTAACAACGTATTTAAACATATATATTTTATACACGGGAAGCAACCCAAATGGCCACTTTACAACCTTGCATGATAACATTCTTCATGACAGAATGCATCGGCGCCAGTTGAGCATCATGGGCTACAGCAATGTCATGATGTTCAAGTTCTTCATCTCTAAACTTTGCTATAGTCTGTATTCTATGTTAATATGTATCATGTATGCTTCCTATTTTACCTTGCCAAGGTCAACCAGCTGTTGATTGGGTTCCTTTATGGTCACCAATTCTCTCAATTGATCATCATAATGACCACCAATCACAGTCTCCACTGCTTCAGTACATGCCATAGCTGCCTCTTTACCCATCAAGGCAGTACCATAGCCAACCGCGTAACCAGCGACTTCCCATAAGGGTCTCAGCAGACTCGGTCTCACTCGGTGTTCTCCAACAAGTTGGTCAAATCGTTCGAGATGTAATTTTTCTTGGTCCCACATCTCTTGCAAGATGGGTTTCAAGTTTTTGTCTTTTCCCAATACAGCAATCTGGCCCTTGTAAATGTAGTAGGCACCTACTTCACCAGCTTGGTCTACGCGAATCATGGGTGTGATGAGTTCTTTTTCTTCCTTTGTCAACTGCCTCTCAGTGACTGTACTCAGACACCGAGTGTGAGCCACAAAGGGTTTATGTAGTGGTCTTAGAATGCGAAGCATGGGTTGTCAATAATTAAAAAAAAAAGAAAAGCAAAGGGTCAACAGGCTGTATTTGCGGTATTTCAAATTATTAAAATCGACCCACTCCTGCTAAATTGAGCCTAAACGCATTTATAAAAAGAGGTTACACTCTTGTAAAAAAAAGTACACCATTTTCAGAAAATGTCGCGCTAACTTATCGCTTTTTCGTATAAATTGTATTATAAAAACTGCGAAAATGCGACTTTCTGTTAAAAAACTGTAATTAACTAGACGCCTTTATCGCGACTTGTTTAATCCCAAAAAAGGAAAAAGAATAATCCTGTGAGTTTGTTATCGGAATATCAAAAAATAAACTTTTTCTATTTTGTTCGAAAAAAAAATAACCCTTTGGCGTCACATTTATTTATTTTTTGCTCCTTTTTTTTCTTTCTCAAAAAATTTTCTTTACAAGAGAACCAAAAAAAAGGGGAAGACGCCTATGCTTGGTTGTAATCAATTTTGTATAAAACGGATGATAAATAGTGGAGCACACATCCAAACCAAATAAGTATGACACCCAACAAAATAATTCAACAACAAAAGGAAGTCGAAGCATTCTTGGCTCAATGTGGATTATCGCAATACTTTCAAGTGTTTATGGAAGAAGGATTTGAAAGAATGGAATCAGTAAATAGTATACATGTGTTTTTTTGTATTGTTATTAACTTGTATAGTTGATGGAAATAACTGAATTAGACCTTGTACAAATGCAAGTAAAAAGAGGACATAGAAGGGTAAATCTTTTATTATTTACAATATGCATATTCATCCTTTTATAGTTACTACAAAGAGCAGTGGCGAATGCAAAAGGAATACCACCTAATGTGCCATTAAGTATGGCTCAAACAAATTTTAATAACTCTTCTTTGTCATCAGATATCATCATGGCAGACGGAGTCATCTCTTCCCCTCCACCTGCTTCTTCTCCTATGAGCAACAATAATATAATGTATAATTCACCCACAGCGACCCTATCCTATCCATCACAACCACCAGAAAACTATTACTATCCATCGGCAGGCACGATGAGCGCTCAAAGCGGAATGTCATCCACAGAAGAAGAGGCAGTGACAAGTGATAATATCCACCGAATATGGAAACGCAAATACCATCGACATCCTAAACCAGATACAAATGCACCGATCAAACCACCATCAGCCTACGTGATGTTTTCAAATGATGTACGAGCCGAGTTGAAGCAACAGAACAAGTCGTTTACAGATTTAGCAAAAATTATCGGTGATCGATGGAAAAGTATTTCTCCCGAGGAAAAGGAATTCTATGAGACAAATGCATTAAAAGCAAGAGAAGAATATTTAAAGCAGATTGAAGAGTATCAAAAGACGGAGAACTATAAAAAGTATCAGCAGTACTTGTCTGAATTCAAAGCTGAAAATGAAGCAGCTGCTCGTCCAGTCGGTAGACCACGAAAGAGACAGGTCAAGGCAATTCAACAACAACAACAGTATTATGCGTATCAACACAATAATGAAGATAATACGAGTGATACCAAAAGATCACAAAGACAGTACCCATTCTATTTATTAAATGCGGATGATAATAATCGTACAAATGATGATCAAAGCAGCCATCCTACTAATACAACTTCATCAAGCAAATAACAACCAAAAATTGTGTAAATGTGTGTATATGTATCTGTATATGTTCTCTCTCTTCTGTGTGTGTGTATATGCACAGATGTATATTTTATAAACAAGATAAAAAATCTCCCAACAAGCTACTATTATTATTATTTGGTTTCTTTTCTTTTTGTTGTTGTTTAGCCAGCAGTGCCTTCAGATTGTTATTTTTGCCCTTGTTCTTTTTCTTTTTAACCTCAGGTTCTTGCTTTACTATGCCGATTTCTTCTTTTTTTTGATGTAGCTTGTTTTTAAATGAACCGTGATATAGTTTAACACGGGAACAAGTCAGACAAGTTGTTTCTATCAGATTCTTGGCTCTCAGCTGCTTCTTCTTTCTTTCTTTTCTATTCTTTTGAATTACTCTGACTGCTGTATTTAGTCCAGGTATAGCAATCTCACCACAGCTTTGACAGGCTGATCTCTCCATCTGTTTGGTTGGTTTTAATTCATACTCGATTAGAGCTTGTTGAAATTCACTCATGTAAAATCGTGACAATGAAGGACAGACATTAAACATGAGCTGACTGGCATTAGACAAAAAGTCAAGTCGACCTGTTTGTTGAATAGGTTGTTGCATATCCACAAAAAAACAAAAAAAAGGTAGTGGCTGGACAAAAAAAAAAGGGAAAGGGCTCGTTTTAATCTCCGTTCATGACAAGCATAAACACCTTTTTATTTATTCCTCCATAGGCTCTCCTTCTTCATCATCCGTGTCCTTGTTCTTTCTTAAAGCAGCTCCCATATTATAATGCATAGCTCTCTTTCGAAGAAATTCTTCATGACGTCTTTTAGCTATCATTGTTGTTAACAAAAGCATGTCTTATTTTTGTTATTCTATGTACCTTCTTGCTTTTCTTCTTCTGTCTTATTTTCTTCATCTGCATCCCAATCATCGTCACTTACTGATACTCTTCGGCGTGATCCTTTTGATCCATTCGACGTGACACTTGATTTATCTGATTCCGCGCCTCTGTCCAAAATGAATCCATCGGGTATCTCTGTGGAAGGGGTTATTTAGATGTGATAAATAAAGAGAAAGGAATTTTTTACCATCCATATTGAGAACTTGGTCTGTCTCTGAATTATAGCGTACATAAGGTGTCTTGGGTTCTGTGATTTTCATGGTAGAATCCTTTTGTGCCTCCGTTAATTCTAAATTAGCTTCATCCCATCTCAATCTATAGACATGTCAGTTATCCCATTCGAACTTGTACGGTTCTTACCTTGTCGTCTCAGGGGTTGACTTTGTCTTTTTTAAAATACCCTTTTTTGGTTGTGCGTTCAAGTTTGGAGAATGACTCATGTTTAAAGAAAAAAAAAAAAAAAAGAAAAATAATATGCAACGGAATTTTATTTCTTTTCGTCTTCCATAAAAGGAGGATCGTCTGTAGGCACCTGAAGGCCTTTCAGCTCGTCTTGATAAAAGTAGGCAAGGATATCTCTTGTTGCACGCAAAGTGATGTTGTGAATGGGATGGGTGGGTTGTAAACTATTTTCAATCACGTCACCCACAATCGTAAACTCATTTTGACACTTCCACAGGATAGATCTGAGTCCAGGTGGGATGTCCGGTGTAGGCTTATAGATAATACTGTGCTGTGCGGTGGAAAGGCCCGAGAGACAGTAGCAGGTATGATAGAAATCTGGACCTTTACCTGGTTTATCGATCAGTCCTCCTGATGCGCTCTGACAACAAAGCAAGATGTATTCTTGTAAAGCTTCCCTGTCAAAGAGATAATCATCTAATACTTGTCTTAATACTGTACACAACATCTATTTTGTTTATTCTCTTACCTATTTGTACCTTGGCATCAAGTGCTGCCTTGATGATGGGAAAGTCGCCTGCTCCCCAAAAAGAGTAGCAGCCATCGACAAGTTTGTTCGTACGTCCTTGAAATCCTCCTTCCAGTTTCATTTGACGTCCTGAACACCAATCCTAATAGAATATGAGTTTTGTGCATATATATATCATACACGACTTACCACCAAGCGATCCAGGTTCAATTGTGACATGCCATCCAGTAACTGCATTGCTGCTAATCCACAAAACGTATATCCATTATGAGCCTCTTTGCCGGGATAGGGCCCGATCCCTCCTTCATAGGTCTGTGACCTGCGGATAAAATCAATACAATTTTCTGTTAATTCGGGCGTAAACAAGTTCAATAAGGCCGCTACACTTAATGCACAGTAGGATCCACTTTTAAGAGGTGTAAGTAGAGTCATTCAAAAAAAAAATATATATATTACCGAATATCAATTTCACCTCCATCATGCATCGTGAATGATCCATCTGGCTGTTTCATGCGCATCAAGTAGTTGTACAGATTTTCTCTAATTTTTCGCTTGTCAATCATCCCCTCTCTATGACCCATTCAACGCTTTTACCTGTCAACAGCTTCATAGGCTTCTTTTGTACCAAGAATGGCCAATGCATTCACAGCTGCATAAGTCGTTGCCAAGTGGGCTAATTGATCTCCGCCTCCTCCAAATCCACCTGTGGGTATCTGCCAATGTTTGATTGAATCAATGGCTCTAGAAGAAGGGGATATGAATAAATAGTCAAAAAAAAAAAAAAAAACACACTGCTTTACCTGTCAATCAATTCTTTTTCAAACGTGTATTCCATCAAATCCAAGGAATGAAGGATCCAATAAACTAACCAAGGTTTACTGGCATCAAGTGCTGAGGCCCATTGGTCAAGTCCGTTCAGACCTCGTTTAAGGTAGGCGATATGTTTTTGTCGTTTTAATCGAATACTACAAGATAAATAAGAAAGGTATATTCCTTTTTGGCTGTGCTTTATTTTACTCTTCTATGGATTGTTTATCCGTGTTATTGGGTGCATAAGGAACATATTTCTCCAAGACAGATTCCTCTACTCGTTTCTGTCCAAAAAATAAGTCAAAGTTATCAAGTGTTCAACTTTTTTTTTTTTTTTTTTACTTGGTCTATTGATGTCTCTGTTGGTATGCCATCGTCTTTGCATCTTAGGTCAGTTATACCGACATTGCCTGCTAGAATTCCCATAATGACAATCAAGGAAAAATAAAGAAATAAAGAAAAAAAAAAAATAGAAATAGTATCTGGGCTTCAAAGGTTTGTCTTTTTACACTTTAAAAAAATAAAGGTTCATTATTTCTTTACAATGAAAAAAAGAAGAGAATAAAGAGAGAGATGTTGTTATAATGAATTAAAAAGAGTACATAATAATGAGCCATAAAGCATTCAACGATGCATATCAAGATAAAACAATCTGGCATCAATTTACTCCCTCCTTTTATAAAAATAATAATCTACCCTACAGCTTGTAAATTGACGCGACACGCTTATAAAATTTTATTTTACTTTTTTTTTCCTTTAATAAAATGGATTACGGTAAAGTGTCATTTTGCTTTTTGAATGGAACAGTTTTTGATTAATGAAAACAGAATACACAGAAACAGAAGAAGAAAAACAAATCAAGGAAGAATACAAGACGTGGAAAAAGAATGCGCGTTTTCTTTACGATCTTGTAGTTACCAAATCATTAGAATGGCCCAGTCTGACTTGTCAATGGTTCCCTGACGTAGAGAACAGACCAGACAAGAATTACAAGACACAGCGATTGCTATTAGGTACTCATACCAATGACGAAGAACCTAATTACTTGATGATTGCGTCTGTTCAGCTACCCAAGGATAGTCAAGATATTGATCTTCGCAAGTACGAAGAAAGTAGTAACGGTAAATTGAAGACACACGTTTTTGTAGAAGACTCTCATCGTGTATATTAGAGATTGGAGGGTATGGTGGATACAACAATGCACAGATACAAATCACACAAAAAATCATTCATGAAGGTGAAGTGAATCGAGCACGGTATCAATATGAAAATCCTAATGTGATCGCAACCAAGTCGAGGTCAGGAGAAGTGTATGTCTTTGATCGAACCACACATGCATCTTTTCCAAAAGAAGATGAGCCGTTTAGCCCAGACTTGAGATTAATGGGACATTCAAAAGAAGGGTAGTAAACCGACACTAAGGTTTTATCTTAGCTATGGGCTTGCCTGGAATCCACACCGAACACGCTCAACCCATTTGATTAGTGCAGGATTTGATGGTTTAATTGCTCATTGGGATATAGCCGCAGCATCAAAAGAGAATCGTGTGCTGTCACCAATGCAAACATACAAGGCTCATAAGTCGAGTGTATCGGTAAAAGCATACACGTTATCTCGATGATTTAGGCATTTACTCTTTCCCTGTTCCAGGACGTTGCATGGCATATGAAGCATGATTCTATTTTTGCCTCTGTAGGTGATGATGGTCAACTGATGATGTAAGTTTTGTGTGTATTTATAGGGTATATGTATATCCACTCTTTTTCATAGTTGGGACATAAGAAACGAATCTTATCAGCCTATTCAACATGTGCTGGCACATCAAGCAGAAGTAAACTGCGTTGGATTTAGTCCCAGTAACGAATGGATTCTGGCGACCGGCTCATCTGACAAGGTATGAATCATATTGATTATAGACAGCATCAGCAATAATAACATACTCCTTTAGACCGCTGCACTGTGGGATTTACGTAATTTGAAGACTAAATTACACGTATTGAGCGGGCATGAACAAGAAGTGATACAGTTATCATGGTCACCTCATCATGAGGCTATCTTGGGTACAGCCAGCAATGATAGACGTGTTTGCGTTTGGGATTTAGCCAAGATTGAACATGGTGATGAATTACTGGTAACTATGGATACCCTTCATTCTCACCTCATCTTACCTTTCTCAGTTTGTACACGGTGGACATACCAATAGAATCTCAGACTTCAGTTGGAACCCTGCAGAGCCCTGGATGATAGCAAGTTGTGGTGAAGACAACGTCTTACAAACATGGCAAATGGTAAGTTAATAACAAGCCAATCGTATCAAATTACCTTACTGTTTACAATGATAAAAGGCAAATACAATCTATAGTCAGCTTGATTGATAAGGAAGAGGATAAAGAGTGAGGAGGCAAAGTGAGGGAAAAAAAACAGCAAGAGATAGAGAGAGATAAAAACAGAGACAGGGTATTTTCTTTCTTTGGGCCACTGATCTCACTCACATGGGATGATAGCTGGTCAGAAAAAAATAAAATAAAAACAAATGATAGATATTTATTAGTAAAGATTGCATTGTTCAACAAGTTTGCAGAGTAAAAAATAATATGCAAATCATCTGACAGCATATGGAAAGATGTACAAAGGGGCATGATGGGTAAAATGCAGCATACGTGTTGAAACATTTCCTTGTAATGGCATATTCTTACTACTTATCTCAATATTGATATTCAGAGATGCTGACGGCCTATACTGATCGTTTTCGCAAATTTTAATGCAGTAAAAGATCATTACCTTCATTGTCATAGTATATAACAGTAAAGTTGACCCAACTTGTACAAGTCATATTCTTTAGAGATATTGCAGTAGATCTCAAAATTTTCCTGGCTTTTTTCCTAAAAGACATCCCTCCTAATTAGAAATAATAAATTCATTCTGGTAGTATTCACATATTCTTTTCCCTTTTCTTTATCAAAATGTCGTCTCTTTAATAGGCAGTGACAGTTCCATAGCAAACATCTGATTTCATTTTTTGGTGCAGTTTCTGAGTATAATGAGTTTTATTTAAAAGGGAGAAAAGGCATGCATTTAGATAGACGCCTTGTTTGTAAGCCAAATGCTCACAACGGCGCTAATGATTTTATAAAAGTAGATAATTATACTTTCATGTTACACACAACTGTCAATGTTTATCAAGCTTAACTCAATCTTGTATTTTTGATTTTAAATATTAAAAAGAGGATAAATACTATGCTTTATAATATAGCTAGGCATATTTGTTACTATAGTGTTCAACCATTGAAAGCTTCCTTGACATATTTTGACGCATACAGCCTCAAAAAGAACCGGTATTCTTTTTCGTTTTCTTTTTTTTCTCTTGCTTCTTGCTATGGTCTTTTCAACCATCAAAAAAAATTAAGTGTTCGATAATAAATTTTGCGCAAAGTTTATGAACATCTATGAGATATAAAGTTATAAATTGAAATATGTCGCGTACCTTTGCAACGCGTTCTGTTTCAAGCGCCATTTGAAATAGTTTATGCAGACTTGGAAGATCCATTGCTTTACTATAAAAGTGAACGTATAATCATTAAATATATCACAATCACAATCGTCGTTGACGTCTGTTTACATTTTACAAGCATAAGGGAAAGAATAGGGATATAGCAACAGGGAATAGAGGATAAACATTTTACCTTTTATATATGCACTAAGAATATAAATAAAAGCATTACACATTCTTATGCATGTTTGATAAACAGGTTTAATACAGGATGATTACAGGGGTCACGATCTGCTTTGTCTTTGATTCTTTTTAGCAAATAGCAGAAAAACGGATTATATGACATACATGTCCTCCATCAAAAATAATAATGACAATCATTTAGTATATTTTATAAAAGCTTCCTATTTTTTTAAATAATGGGCATTGATCTATATATGGTTATTACAGAACAGCCTCTTTCTATTTCTTAAATACACTATTTATCAGCAGACACCAAGAAGGTATATGATAAACAAACAAAGGGTAATGTCTAGACTCTTTGGATAACTACCATGCGTGCTCTACATCATCAGCAGCCTAGTGTCTTTTGATAAAAACCCTTTGTTTATCACCAGCTGCATTGTCAAATATGCTGCCCTCTTTAAACCTTTTTCCTTGTACATTTGATGCTCACTTTACTTTTTTACTCATTCTTGAAGAAATTAATTAGAAAAATAGAAAAACTGCGTATTCAAATAAGAAAAGTGAAGCAATCATAATAAAGAATTAAGTATGTGTGTGAAGCTAGCCCTATGTAAACAAGCGGTCTTGTAAAATAAAAAAATTATGCCAACAAAAGGAGGAAACGCTCGAATGTGCTCTAGTATGAAAAAGATAGAAAATGAGCTATTTATTTTTTGTTCATTACTAGAGAGGGAGAATTAGCCATTTATTTTCGGCCTAAATAACAAGCAAAAAACTATAAAAGAGAGACCATCATTTTTTTCCTTTTTCCTTTTTTTTTTTTTTTTTTCATTCTTAAGAAATCTCTGCTACTAGCAAATGCTCAAAAAATGCTTGCTACTGTTTATCAATACACTCAAACACTCAAATAGTTAAACAAATACTTATCAATGCCTACAAATGATCATCAGTACCTGAAAATACTAATGAATGCCTGTCTCATGCTTATCAACTTCGGAAAACCCCTGAAGGATTTTGTTCATGTCTATCAATACCTGCTACTAATGAATACTGCTCTGGAGTAATAACATATTCAAGTCCTGAAGCCACAAGAGAAGTCATGAATCTACTATTTCAAACTATACCAAGCTATACCAAATTATGCCAAATTATGCTACAAGAAAAAAAAGTATAAAAAAAACTAACCGGATAGATCGCCGCTTTTCTATGCTGGGTAATCCTTGACGCAAGCTACTGTTGGCATAGTTCTGCTGCTGCCCTGAATGAAAGGCGTCATCTCCCTTGCTTCATCTTAAGTGCTTAGAGGTTCACTCTTTGTACGTTGAAGCTCTGAGAGCTTCCTTGTCCCTTTGCCTAGTGTTTTAGTATTGAGTCTTGAGTATTGTTTCAGGACGATTACGCTTAGTAGTTGTTAGGGGCAGCAGTCAGCTGGTGGCATCTAGTGGTAGTCTTGGGTTGACAGATAAGGTTAATGTGGCCTTCTGGAAAAGAAAAAGAAAAAAAACCCATTTGCTCTCTACTTTGGTTATTAAAAAAATCATCCACTTGCTCTGTAAACTTGATTATCAAAAAAAAAATTACCTGGCTCTCAAAAAAGAAAAACCTCTCTACTTGGCTATCAAAAAGAAAACCATCTATTTGCTCTCTAAGCTTGGCTATCAAAAGAAAAGCCTCTACTTATTCAAAGCCCTCTCTCTCGCTTTGCTTCTAAAATGGCATGGAAATCAAACTATTGCTTACTTTAATAAGAACTTCATTTTGTTACTCCTACACTTGACTTTTTGTTCTTTAATATGCCTACTTTCGTATTCACTTGACGCACTTTTCTTTATCTCTAATAATCCAAGGAAACATCAGTTTAAAGATTGTTTCATATGCATCATTATGAAGTAGCTTCTGGTAACAATCACTATATAATCTCATATAGGTAGCTCTCATTAGTGAGATGCCATATATTCATATCAGTCTGTGCTATACAAACTTGCAAGCGTTTCTTCTAGGCTCGGATTCATATTCATGTATCGTCTTTGAGCATTATTTCATCGGATTTCTTTTCATTGACGGAATGTATTTCTTGTATAATAGATCTTCACCTAAATGTGTTCACGATCTATTGGGACTACAAAAAAAAAAGGCTTCCTTCTGTATCTTCACTACCAAAAGATGAACTCTTCTTGTTCTATATGCTCATATTTGACACATCTCCTTACAAAATTGGAGAGTGGTCCCTGAGAGTACAGGGCATTTTTATGAAGAAACTCCCAAGTGATTCATCTCCCAGTTGTACTTTTTATGTCATGATTCATTATAAATTCACGCATAACATTAGCGCCTCAATAATTCAAGTTGATTCTTTTTTATCGTATTATATTTCTTCTAATTTTATATAAATACCCTCATTTATTTAATAAAAAACTTAGTCAATTATCACATTATTCTTATTGTCCTTAGGCTATCCGTCTATTCCCTTTTTTTCGTTCATCTATACTTACCGCCAGTCGTCTCACTCTTACCTCATAAGTCCTATTCTCTGTATATCAATCTTCAAGTCCTTAGCACCACCCTGTCTTGTCTTTATCGGTTGTACTATCAAGCGCCCTAGTCCCTGCTCCGGTTCTTTCCTCCTCCTTTCCTAGCTGAAAATACAACTCATTATAACATTGTGACGCAAATAGAATCGCCTTCAGCTCTCGAGCATTGACAGAATATTCATTACCTTCTTTTACCAAAAACCTGGATGTTTTCATTACTCTGTATGCGAACGTCCCCTTCCTGTATCCTAATTGGGGCGTCTATTCTCCATTTCTGCTTGTTGGGTTCACCAGATTAGTTCCTCTTTCGTAACCTCTGACAACGTACACAGACTCTCTCCAAATTAGATGTATGCCTTGATCAAAAACACACATATCGTCCAGGCAATATATTATCTATATACCTCAATTAATTTTTCTAATGCCGGAATATCCTCCCTCAATCTCCCATGATCCTGCATCATCTTTTTCCATTGATGGTGGGAAACAAGAACCACGAACCCAGCTTGTATATTTGTCCATTACTTCAGGCTGAACGGAGAAGACAAGAGAAGATCAAACGGAAGACCCATCATCGCAATTATCAAATGGCAAGCTTTGTTGATGCTGTCAGAGACCCATACTTTTTTTTTCCGCTACTATATCACTATTTGCCATCATGATGAAATGGCTACGGTTTGACATAATCACTCTCTCCAAGTCCAGTAACCGCTTCAGCAAAGTGCGAGCTTTACGGAAACCTTCCTTCTTCTAATGCAGTTGATAAACGCTAGCTTTTGGCCCTTCTCAAAATCTTTCGATAGTTGGCGTGATTGACGTGATACTTGTCTTTGTTAATGTTCTTTTACAAACTCAATGTTGTTCAAATCAGTGGTTTTGTCGACAGAGGTACAACATCCTCAAATCGAACAAACATCAACGGCATAGTCTGTTTCGTGAATTTTCTTGTTTCTATTTTGAAGTATTGCCTGCTTCTTATGCATTAATTTGAGGTCTACGTATGAGTATGAAGCGTGTTAATTGAAGAGTTGTAAAACATGTAATTATTGCACAGGGAAGCATATACTTTGAAGAAGGTTCTTTGCTTCCGTCATTACAATACTTCATTTGGAAGTATAAGCATTCTTTGTATGCCCTTTTTTGTTGTTGGCATTGTTGTATTTGCTGAAGGAGAAAAAAAAAAGTGTTATATGAAAAATAAATTTAAGGAGTTTAGTTATAGTCAATATAAAAAGCCTCAGAGTATCAATAGAGTGTCTGGAGGGCGATAGTGAGTAAAGAAATGGCAGGTACCGCTTCGTCATATGTATGTTATTGGTACTCATCAGAGACTTAATATTGAGCATACACTACAGTATTTAATCAATATAATGGTAAAAGTGCTTACTGTCTATCACTAGGAACTGTTATCGCAGCCTCCAAATTGACATGTAGAAGAGTATACAAATAGCGCACCTTTCTTTCCTCAAAACTGGAGCCAGCATGCGTTTCTGGATCGAATGCGGCACCATTTAATCTGTCCTTTCAGACAACTTCTCTTGGCTCCCTCATTATACATCATAATCAACTCTTTTACAGATTAGCAATCAATGAAAAACGATAGCTCCCTACACTTTGTCTTTGGAATAATTTTTTTTATATTGAACACACTATGAAGTTACAATTGAAGCTTTTGAGCAGCAACAGAATTGAAACAGAAATGACACTGCTGCGTTTCCAGGCTATGCTTGTATTCTGTCAAAAAGTTAGCCATGTCTTCCTGTGTCTTTATTCCTAGCATGGGCCCAACCATAGGCTGTATACTCTTCACTCCTTCCAGACAGTCCCAAATGAATTTCTTTGCAGCAGAGGTACCGGAGCCTATATTGTGCCTTATTAATATTATTTTCGTCATTTGGCTTCAAACTTTACTCATATCACAGGCTCTGTAGTCGGATTGAACGATTTTGACATTGTTGTGCTTGGAGAGCATCTTTTCCAACACAACCCCTATATTTGGATTCTGTCCTCTTGAAATACAAACAGTGCGAACTGTCCAAGTGTTAAGAGTCATGCTTAAATATTATCCTGTAAGCAACTTACTGGCATGCATGACCTTGTAAAACACAGCAGTGTGATCCTTTGGTAGCTAAGATTCAACACAAGATGAAGATTTTGTGGAGGATTCTGGATATATGGGCCCTACCTTAAGGTCGCAATCTGCCACTTGTATCATGCCTCCTGGTTTAGTAATTCGTATCACTTCGCTTATGGCTGCTGGCCATTCATGTTCTTCGTTAAGAGCAAGAACAAAGAACCTCATATGGACAAAGTCAAATGTGTTATCTTCATATGGAAGCTTCTTTGTCACATTTCCATAGGCATAAGTGAACTGCTTTAAAGGAAGCTTTTTGTTTGTCGTATCAACAATGTCGCAACCATGGTAAGTGCAGTTGGGATATTCCGTGATCATATCCTAAAAGACATGAGCAACTGCATATATGCTCATGAGTTGCTACTTACCATAACCCATACACCAGAACCACAGCCTACGTCAAGAATAGTAATACCCTTTTGAAAATCCAAAGCTTTTGTCACGCTAGGCAAAACATTCCTTAAAAGAGAATAGGTTAACATTTACGAATGTGCACGTATATGTTAAAGCTCCTACCCTTCGTATAGATCCTTAAATGCAAAATGTTGCTACAACCAGTTTTTTTTTAGCCAAAAGTAAACCTTACATGGACCACATCTAAATTTATATACCCCTGCTAATCTCTTTTGCTCTTCATCATCTTTGGGCAGCCAGTAGGTAGAGGTTTCCTCGTTATGAAACTCCCGTTCGGTGCCAATGACGTTTTGATTTACGGCAGTTCTTGAGCTATCCATATCTTCCTGAAATGTTGTAATCATGGCTTTGTCCCAGAATGCTTGTTGGTCTATAAGATGCTTGTTATTTATACTGTTCTTTCTTTTCAAAGTCGAAAAATGGCCACCCATTGTAATGAACACAATAAATAAAGAAAGAGAAAAAAAGCTATTAATACAAACCTCCTGCTTTTGGGTAAATCCTAAAGTGTGTTCAACAAGATAAAAGGGCTTTCGAGACCCTTGAGTTGCTCATATTGTTACCATGTAATACAAAAAGCTGAACACAGTGTTTGTGTGAAGCAAACACTTTACTGATTGATCAAAAGAGTAATATATGTATTCCCTCTGACTGATTAAAGTTTAGTTTCAGATATTGTTTCTTTTATTAGACAATCTACGCCCTGCTTACTTTTCTTACAAAGACACTCCAAGATCTTTTAACCTCTCGATATAGCTTCTTAGATAGCCACAAACATCAAGCGATAAACTCGGACTTGACAGATTCTTTTGGCCAGTTTGTTGAACGCTTGATATTGATCTTTATATTGTTGGAAGCATCTATATGACTGCAATATCGCAATGACAAGCACAATTTCGAAACAGTCGCTTATGTACTTTAAAAAGATTCTTACCTTCCCCTTTCATTTTAATCGTTTGTTCATTCATAGTTGCTGCAAAAAGCCCCTTGATATTGGCGCTTCTATTATAAAGTTAAATATCGGTTATTTTTACTCTCATGATCGGTATTACGGAGCGACATTGGGCCTTGCTGTTGAACTTTTTATGGACAAATGCCATCAAAACCCGGTTGTTACACTGTTTATGGGGCACAAGATGCATAGCGCCCGTGCATCTGATGAGCTAAAAAGGAAAAAGATGCCCATCACTTGGTTTCAGAGGTCCGTTATGCATTCTTCCTGTTGTATGATCAAGAACATGAATTTATCACTCTATGAACAAGGCTTCTAGGCGGAGAGCTCACATAAATAAAGCATCCCTTACTTGAGTATCGGCAAACATATTTCAGCCCCCTCCCCTTTTTGATTACTTCCCGATAACCGTATTTTCGCTCCAGTTTCGATCAAGTTACAAGCGTAATTCGATCATTTTGTTATACAAAGGCATACAAATTCTTGGTCGAAACTGAAGTGGACATCCGTTATTAGTTTAGTTGCTACTAAAGGTGTAAATGAAATCAATGTTCACGACGAAGCTCTAGCGATATTATACATTGTCGTATGCTTTGGAATCTGTAGTCCATTAGTTTCTTTTGACTAATGGTTACTTACATTCAGTGAATCAACGATGAAAGCATCTGAATAATGTAGGCTATCATTTTTGAACAAAAAGAATATAACACTCAAGTGTTCCATTGTGGATGTAAAAGATCCATCCCTCGTGCTTTGGTTGTTGCTGGAAAACTTTCTCCAGCCATTCAATAGAATGTGCATCTCCTTGTAAACCGCTCGTGGAGGGTATGGATGTCCATTATGAATATTTTATTAAGCACTAGTGAATTAATTATGAATTTCAATCAACAGACGATATGAAAACAAAAGTATTTGTTTTAATTAATGATATCTTAATTGAAAAAAAAAAAGACAGACATTTTTTACCTTGGCTCCCCCTTTCTTATCTTTGGTTTGAATCCCCCCTTTTTTTATAACTTAAGCTGGAATGAAATTTTACTTTAGGAGATAAAGAAAGAAAGCTGACAAGTGGCAAAATAGACACTTCAAAAAAGGAGAGGAATGATGCTTGCGGAAAGAGAATCATTGTACGACCTTCATTATGAGAAAATGATTTAAGATTGTTTTCTCTCTTTTTTTTTTTCTCTTCTTTTTTTTTTCATCCTTTTCAATCCTTTCCTTTTCAACAACAACAACAAGAAAGAGTCTATTTTCTTTTTTTGATAGAAAGAAAAAAAGAATACACATTACCACTCCTTGATTTATTACTGTCCTTTATCGCTTTTTTTTATTTCATCTCTCCTTTAGAAGAAAAAAAACACTTTCCTCCTTTTATTTTGGGAATATAATTCAATCTATTATCTAGTTCCCTTTTATCTCTTTTTTTTTTTATATAAATGACCATCTTAACTGCTAATAGACGCATTCGTACCTCTGAAAAGGTAAAAAAAAAAAAAAAAACAAAACAATAGGAGTCATAAAAACAACATATAAACATTGAATGATGTATATCCAGATGACATTGATGCAAAAATCTAAATCTGAACCTAATTGTCAAACCAACGCTTTAGTCACTCTTGGTTATCCTAAACGTAAATCAACAGGAAACCTTCGTCAGTCGATCAGTCAGACTTCTTCAGTGATGACTCAGACCAGTCAAAACAAAGTAAATAGAACTTTATGAACATGGATTTTGTTGCTTAAATAGTATTTAGATCTGGCGTCCACCTGGACATTGTGAGATCCCCGATATCTTGGGCCATGCTTATCTTAAACCAAGCCCACCTGTTGCTTTCGATTTACGTCCGAACGATATCTCCAAACGAGTATCCAAGGTAACATTTAAGGGAGAGAACATTATGAGTTGTGTCTAAACCCACATTTTTGGTAATAGCGTCCGTGGTATCCTCCTAGTCCGCACTATGAAATTCCCGAACTTCCACCACTTAAGCGTAGCACGTTGAAAACAAGAGGACAGAATCAATTGGAAGCTAAGCTGAAAAAGCTATTGCCCAAGATTCCTGTCTGTACATCTGATCCAGTCAGTCGATACACTCACTTTAAAGAAATTGGCACGGGGTAAGATAACAATGATATATATTCTTTTTTTATATATCTCATCACCTTTTAGTGTCAATGGTGCTGTCGTCAAGGCCGTCTGTCGTAAACGAGCTCAGACAAAAGTAGCGATCAAACGATGCAAACTGGATCCTGATCGTGAATATCGTGCAGCCATTCTGCGTGAACTCCGTATTATGGCATCAGGTCACAATAACTTGATTCGATTGAGAGAAGTAACCTTGTGGAAAGATGATATCTTGATGACAATGGACCTCATGCGCTGCTCTGTCTTTGCTGTTCTCTGTCAACGTGGTATCCCTGAAGAGTACGCTGTCTACATGACCTGCGAGACCCTCAAGGGCTTGGCTCACTTGCACAGTCAGGGTATCCTTCATCGCGATGTCAAGTGTGAGAACCTCCTCCTCGGCTGGAACGGCGAAATCAAATTAGCCGACTTTGGCTTGTCCGCACGCATCAACCGACCCAACTACGAACGATTAGGTACGACCAAATGGATGGCTCCTGAGGTCATAAGAGAAGAATACTATAATGAAAAGATCGACATGTGGTCTTTGGGTATCACAATTATCGAAATGATGGACCGTGTTCCTCCTCACTACGCCATCAAGGATGAGGAAGAACTGTTTGATATCATTGCTACTGAACCTAGCCCGACATTCACATACAGTTATCCTACCATGTATATGCGTGGCCTCGTAGCCTGGCTCTTGGATGAAGAACCAGAAACAAGACCAAGTGCTCGTGATGCTCTTTTAGAGATTGAAGCTCACGTTCAATCAAACTTGTTACCTTGTTCGTCAGCTCAAGATCTTGTTCGATTCCTGAATCATGTCTTACCATCTGAACACTAAGCTTTACCCCCCCCCTATGTTTATATATATTTATATGTTCTTGTATTTCTTCTCTTATGCATCTACCATTCGTATCCCCTTTCGGTTACATCTTTAATTTTTTTCATCTTTGTCATTAATTTATACATTATGTCTTGTATGTTCGAAACAACAACAAAATAAAAAATATTATTATTTTCACCGGTTTTTTTTTTCTTTTTTTCTTTTTTGTATGGAAATCACGGGTTATTTTTCAGTCACTGGTGTGTTGATGGCACTGCTCTGCAGTTATGTCATCTTGGGTCGATTGCTTGGAATGTATTTATTTGACAAGTCGGGACAAAGGGCAAGGGTGGTGGTGCAAGTAGTCGTGTTGGGAGATATAGCAAGATCACCTCGAATGAGATACCATGCTGTGTCATTAGCAGATGCAGGATGCACTGTGGATCTGATTGGATATACGCGTAATGAACACTCAAATATAAACAAACAAAACAACTTATAATATATAGAAACAAATCCTGGAGCGAGAATTAATGTGCACCGCAACATTCGCGTACGTCCGGTGAGACAGCCTTGGTCGATACCCAAGGGCTGGCCCAAACTTGTCTATCTGTTATGGGCACCCGTCAAGGCCATGTGGATGACGGTTCAGTTATTTTGGATCATGGCCTGCATCACACAACGACCTGACTTTATTCTTGTTCAGGCAAGTTTAGAGATAAATGAAGGAGGGTGAACAACACTAAATTAGATAACAGAACCCACCGTCGATTCCAACCTTGGTTATTGCACAGCTCGTGTCTGTGCTTCGTAAGGCATGGCTCGTCATTGACTGGCACAATTTTGGATATACTATTCTAGGTATGACACTCGGCATGAATCATCCTGTGGTACGATTCGCAAGATGGTACGAGCATCGATTTGGACAACGAGCGTATGCTCATTTAACCGTGACGGATGCGATGCACCAAGAGATCAAAACACACTGGAAGGTTCAAGGAAAGATCATGACCGTACGAGATAAGCCGCCGGTTGAATTCAAACGACTATCGATGGAACAAATCCATCGTCAATTTACCTTCTCACTCAAGATCATTGAAGACCTTGTTAGACAGACGCAAGACGGAGACATTTTTTTGGGCAGCTACAACGATTCCCAAAATGGAACATTGTTATGTGACGCAGATCAAGGTGGAGGGTTGATCTGGCGAAAAGACCGACCAAAGCTTATCGTCTCATCTACCTCTTGGACCCAGGACGAGGATTTCTCGATCTTGCTGGATGCCATCCAGCTCTATGAACACTCTGCTCGTCCTTCGGATCCAAATTTACTCTTTGTTATCACAGGTCAGGGACCTCAAAAGGCTTATTATCTCGAAAAGATTCAACAGATGAAGCTCGTCAAGACAAGAGTGGTCACTGCTTGGTTGGAGGCAAGTGATTATCCGCTCTTGCTGGGTAGCGCCGATTTAGGCATCTCTCTTCATACGAGCTCAAGTGGTCTAGATCTGCCAATGAAAGTCGTCGATATGTTTGGTTGTGGCTTACCTGTCTGCGCAATATCGTTTCCATGGTAACTATAGTATAATCATACAAGACATTATTTCTAAAGTGCTTATATAGTCTAAATGAGCTTGTTCATGATCAAGTGAATGGACTTGTCTTTGAAACAAGTCAAGATTTATATGAACAATGGGTGGTAAAAATACAACAAATATAGACATTTTTCATGTATTGATGAGGGTACCATATAGGAATTATTTATAAAGAACCCGGATAAATTAGAAAGAATACGATCCAATGTGATTCAAGAATATAAAGAGAATACATGGCAACATCAATATAAACACATACTTACCACGCTTTTCAATCAACATTGATCCGGAGTTGACTATGTTCGGCCTTTAAAAACAACGTGGCAATTTTAAACATTTACCTGGTATGGAAACCATGCTTAAATAAAACAATCAAACCGTTTGGAATAAAAGAACTTTATTTAAGGAGTCTGCGTGCGTGTATCATATGTCATCATTTTTGGGGAGCGGATAAAATAGTTAATTATATCTATTTAACTCAACCTTTTGGTATCTGCAGCTGATTTCAGAGCAGACTAACGTGCCGAGTTTCTTCTAACAAGACTCTGGG